TTCGACATAATCTACACGAAAAGATAAGTTCAATTTGTTTTTCATTACGATTTCAATGTTGTTTGATTACGATGTGGCTAATCTTTGTCTATGATCACTACGTTCTAGGTCAAACAACTGACTCTGGCTCAAATAACTTCACGATGGCATCAGAAATGGAGGGTATGTTTTTGGCAGCCGATAAGCCTGTGCATTGGGACAGCGCGCAAATGCACGCTAGGTGTTATTGCCATAAGTTGGCTTTAGTAGTTAAAGCTGGCTTAAAGGCCCTTTCGATTCAGTCAGGCCATTCAAAGCCAACCACCGATCCAAATCTCGCGATTCCTATTCCGACTTTTCAGCTTAACAATGGAGAAGACGAAGTCGACATCGAATCTGATGACGAAGATGAAGGTGATTTCACAGACAAAATTACTCCAGATCCTAATGCCGATGACGATGAAGTATCTTCTTTGGGTGTTGCCGATGTCTCTGCCAAGCATGCTGGGAACATCTTTGCTTCTGCGATTCAAAAAGTAAGTTCTTCAGTCTTTTCCTATTCCAACTGGCTTACAGATCAATCTCAAATCCATGTTTATTAACTATTTTACTTAGGTCGATATGGTCAGCAAGAAGATCGCTGGATCTCACTCGCGTCGTCAAGAGTTCAGAGGACTATGTAAGCAAGCCAATTTGGACCACCGTATTCCTATTGCGGGTTACGGAATTCGCTGGAATGTGATCTACGACTCACGTACCCGCATGTGCGCGGCACAAGATGTGAGTACGTGCTCTTATCTACTTACATACACAGCTAATAATGATTTATTTTAATTTGAAAGGTTGTTAACAAAATGCTATCGGCCGATCGGAAGAAGACTCAATTTTTCAAGGGCACACTAATTCATGCCAATGAATGGGAGGCAATTGAGGCCCTCAACAAAGTCTTAGAGGTATGATCTTTTACTACCTGACCATGACCGTTTCATTCAACTGTATTGATCTTGCTCATCGACGGCACCAGATTTTTTCCATTGGCACCAAACGCATGGAGGGGGACTTCCCCTCGGGAGCGATGGTTCTTGTTGAATACAATCGAATCAAGACTGCCCTCAACGATGCTCGTACTAAAACTAAGATGGTACCCCTCAAAGATATGATAGATGTTATGTTAAATCAGTTGCAAATTTACTTAGATGAGGCTCTTCAATGCAAGGCTTTGATACTGGCAACAACCCTGCACCCTTGATATCGTCTCGCGTTTGTTCTCAAGTTTTATCCCGATCACAAAGATGCCGCAAAGACTTACCTTACCGACGCATTTGCTTCCGCATTGGAAGCTGCCAAATTACAACCTCAACCTGGAACAACAGTTGCTCCGGTAGTCCCTATTGTTGAAGACGACGACGACTTCAATGAGTTCATTAATTCGAATCCTTCCCAAACGGCTCGAGATGAAGAACTTGACTCTTACTTAGCAGGTCAGCGCGAGTTTGACAAATCCAAGACTGCGCTGGATTGGTGGGCTGTAAGTGTTTGCCTAAACATAATGATATTATTTTAGTCTAACTAACTTCGTTCGATGTAAATCTTAGGCAAACAAAGCAGTGTTCCCGGTACTTGCTAATATGGCAAGGCACTACCTTGCTATTGCAGGTACCACTTGCTCTGCGGAACGAGTATTTTCTGGTGCAGCAGATGTCTGTTCACAAGATTGAACCGGGCTGATTCCAAGTACCATCACCAGGTCAGTTTGCTCTCGCGAGTGGACAAAGGATGGTGTAGACCCAGGTGGTGACTTTGGGGATGCCATCAAATATGTCAATTCTTACACGGCTGAACAGCTTAAAAATAAAAACAAAAGGGTAATTAACAGGATAGATTGAATATGTTATTGTATTACATTAAAGTTTCAAAATTTGAAACCAATTTCTTTTTGTCTTGATATGACGCTCACTTTGCCTACCAAAAATGGGGTCTGCGGCGCGCTGCGCCCCAGTTCAGCGCGCCGCTGCCTCATTGAGTTTTTTTTGTACTGAGATGGGGCTGCGGTGGGGCTACGTAGCCACTGGGGTGAACCCCAGCATTGTCCCAGTGTACCCAAAATGCGGCGGGATGCGGCGGGGTTTGCGCGTTGTGTTAACTGGCCGTAAAGATAATATCAATTCAAAGATTTTTTTGATCAAGTTTCAGTTTTATTAAGGATGGATGGATTGATTAGATCATCCTGAACACAACATCAAAATCTTTCACATTCTTCATAGTTACACTGACAGTTTTTAATGAATTCATTTTGCTTTGATCTACAGATTTAGGGTGTTCAAACCTCAAAATCAATTCATGCAAGTTTTGTGCAAGTTCTGTGCAAGATATGAATAGAACTTGCACGGATCTTGCACAAAACTTGCAAGAGTCGGTCTCGCACGGTTTTTGCACGGTTTGGAACACAATAACTCGGGTTGTCAAAAAAATTACTGTGCAAGATTAGTGCAAAAAATCTTGCACGGATCTTGCACGGATCTTGCACGTCGGTCTTGCACATTTCTTGCACAGGTTTGAACACCCTAATTTAACACAAATATAAACAATGAACTTCCTGTTGAGGACACCAAGGACAGTCAAAAAAATAATTCCTTTCCTATATGTACATACTTGAAAGTTAAGATAATTGAGTTTAGGCATTGTCAGCCCTGAGTACATATACATGTACCCAAAACTAACTTGCAATAAAGAATTATCATATACAAACCTAATTACATATACAGACGGCCAATAGACAGTATGTAACATGTAATAAAACACATAAAAATATTAATTACATATACATCTACACTTAAAACCACATGTAGTGTATATGTAATTAAGCATAATTAATAATGATCATAACAATCATTAACAACAAACCCTAAACCAATGTTGTGATACAAACAAATACCACTACAGTTAGGTTTAGAGAGGAGAGTATATAATCCCCTCCTCTCTCAGCATTCAAGAAAATCCCCCAAGCAATTTATTACACACATCTTTTAAAGAACCCTTTAAAGTTCAATTGAAGTACATAATCAAAAGTCTTATAATAATAAGACTAGTGATTCACTTCATATCTTTAAAGCAGCTTCCTGACTAAAAGATAAAGTAATCTCTTTCTTCCCCTTTCTGGATCCTCTACTTTCCCTAAGTAGAACATTTCTAGGTTAGTGACCTTCCAATTAACTTCAAGGTTAGTTACCTCTTGAACAACTACAGGTTAGTGACCTATATCAACTCACAGGTTGGTGTACCTTCTGAACAACCGTAGGTTAGTGACCTATATCAACTCTCAGGTTGGTGTACCTTCTGAATAACCATAAGTTGGTGACTTTGTAACAACCAGACTAGTGACCTTCACCTCACTCTTTAATCTGTTACTTTAAAGATTAAAGGAGGGCCTTGGATCCAGCCTTTGTACTTTATAATAATTATCAATTATAAATCAAACCTCCTTTCAAGGAGTCATCTAACTGTAGTCTGTCTGGACTTATCCAAACAGACTATCAGTCTCTTTTACTTTCTTTCTTTTCTTTATTTCATTTTGTAAATACTACACATTTGAAATAAAGAATCAAATTTCATTACTACACTACCCATTTTCCAACTTTAGTGAGCATAGAGCACTCTCAAAGAGTACCCAACCCTCACAGGCATTTTGGTCAGATTGGTGATGATTCAGTTCAATTCGGATACTAAAGCTTACACATTTACATCTCAATCCAAATGTTCCAGATTAGTAGGTTTAATTATAAAACTAAATTTCTGGATCAAATTTAGTTGAATAGTCTCAAAACAATGGTGGATCATACACCACAGGAAGATCTGGTCTGCTCTCAGGCTAGGTGGGCTTAAAGATGACCTGTGTGCAGGTCATTGCACTAATAGACTGACAGCCTATTGCACGGCAGTGGGATGTTGGCCTGCAGACCATCTAGAAAGTATGGTCAGCAGTCAGAGCTTATACGGCCTGTGGGACATCAGTGGAGGTCTGTAGATCAGCAATTGAGGACCATTGGATTGTTATTTTTTTGTTTGGGTGGTTTTTGATCAAACACAAGAAATACACTCATTGCAGGTGTATCAGTAACAAGAGAGGGGATTTTGATAGAAAAAGCAATAAATTATATTTCATTGAAGTAACAAGATAATTCAAGAAGATGATAACAATGAGGATAGAACTTGATAGTAATACAACATGTGCTGCACTTGGAACAATCCAATAAGAAGTGAAATGTTTGACTGAAAATATTAAGAACTATGAATTGTCCTTTGAGATCTTTCATACAAGTTGAATTGAGCATAATGACTTACTGCAAAATTCATAGTTTCCTCGAAACACATTTACCCTCCAAACATGTTCATCATCTAATGGAAACCTCTTAATCCCACCCTCTGAAACCATAGAAAAGACAGTGGTTATATTTGATTGTCAATATATTGAAATCCTATTATGATGATACATTATGGACGGTTTCTCAAAGTCACAAGAATGGTCTTTGTGAGTGGAAATGTCAATGACATCACATAAAACTTTTGAATTGCTCTTCCTCTACCCTTCTTTATTTTCTTATCAATTTTCTTGTCAATCTGAATCTGTTCAAAAAGACTTAAAAAAGGATGGTACATCATAGAGTTCATTTTGCTTTGTTCAATTCAGTCCACATCAGACACATGGTAATTTCGTCATATTGATTTTGTGTTTCACTCTGTGTCACTTGCATAACTTTACAGCGCAAGTTTTGCTTCATACTCACAGACAAAAGAAAGACCTCACATAACATAGATGAGATCTTGCTTAAAGATCCCATCTAATTCTAATAATCACCGCAATGGTAAACCAGATCACAGCATTGCTTCCTCACCCAAAAAAGGCCCTGAGATGATACTCTCAATGTCGATCAATACAAACCATTATAAATTTTCAAAAAAAACCTTACAAAAAGATTTCTCACATTTCAATCACAGAACGGAACGCGAAAGACCGATTTTTTTCATGCCGATAAAGCCATCATCATCGTACCTAAAGCTTGTGAAATTTGATCAGCCATTGCAGATTCCACTTTTTCTTCTAAATGTCGTTTTGGATCTTGTTTTCCAACATGTCGAGTCTTTAGCCTAATTTTCCAATCATTCAACATAAAATCAAATTTAATAAATCATCTCAAAACAAACATAAAAGAATGAAATTCAACTGACTGTTCTGGTGTTAGTGTTGATTCTTCTTGAACTGATTTATTATACGATGAAGCTAATGACAACATATCCTATAAAAAGTCATCGATATTCTCATGCTTCAGTGCCTTGAAACCCCAAACATTTTTATCAATCAATTCAAAGCGCTCAAACAAACCTTTACAGTTTTCTCATTCGATTGTTTATGAAGTTCAAAATCTTTCAATCTCAGTCCTTCAGTCCAATCTTTCTTATGTAAGTTCAATAACATCGCTTGTTCTAGTTCTGTTTTTCGATAATTGATTGCTATCGAATAATAATGTCGATTGAGTCCATGAATCAATGCCTATTCCAACGAAAAAAAAATCCGTCACTTTGAGTCTTGTAGATGAGAGAGAAAGAATCATGAATCAAGTGGGAAGATTGATCGGACCTGGATACTAGGCTTGTTGAGATGTCCGATATTTGAAGTGCTCTGTCTTGGTTCTTGACCCATCATAATAGTCTGAGGAGGAATCAGACCTACGTGTTTAAAACGATAAATAAAGGTCAGTCAAGCCAACAGACGCGTAGAGCAGACCAGAAACCAAAGTTTCAAATCGCAAAGGATGGCTCACGAAATGCATCAATGACGACTTTACCCCGAACTGATTGAATTGGATCTACTACCACAGCTACTGCTCGAGGTGTAAGTTGTTCAAATGACTGTTCAAGCAAAACATATCAATACTCGTGTTCACAATAAAGCTTCGATCGAAGAGTCAACCAACCTGCTGAGTATTAGTATCAACACTTGAAAGCCAACAACCGAATCCAGGATGTGAATGATACCAACCAACGACCATCTCAGGCCTAAACAACTCCGCGATCAAGAAACCACCACGCCCGCCCAAGAAAAAAACCTCCATCAATCTACCATTCAAACCCCTCGAAATCCGATTTTGCAAAACTCACCTTCCAGTAGCATTCAACATATCCATCATTTTAGTTTGAAAGACCGGATCAACAGCTTCAACACTCACACCTGTACCACTCTGAGGCATAGCAAAGACATCTACGACTCTAACTGTCCAATCATCTACAAACTCTCCTAACATCAATCCCATGACTTCTAATGGTACACCAGCTCTACCGTGTTTTAACATCTTGAGTAATGCTAATGCTGAGATATGAACTTGTTCTGATGTATCATTTAGTGGTTGATCAACACTAAAATGAAAAACAAAAATTTGGATGGGTTTGATTAGTTGGTTTGACATTGGGATTGGAAATTGGTTTGGATTGTGGATTGAGTTGAAGAGTTACCCAGGTGTTTGATTTGAACCGGTTGCACCTTGGATCATCCTTTGGATTGCTCTAGCGTCCATGTTGATTGTTGATTGTTGAAGGGTGAAGGGTGAAGGGTGATGTTTGTAATTTGACCAGTGATTTGAGGAATCTCTTGAGATAGTTCTTGATGACTTTCTGTTTGATTTCGATTGCGTCAGTGTTCTTGGACTGAGAATGTCATCGATTGATCACCAAAGATTTCACATTCATGATTCTCTCATCGCGTACACTTGGCTGAAATGACACCTGGATTACATCGTCAAGACAGCTCATGTGACAGATTCGATTGAAAGTAATTTCATGAGTCTTGCAACTTCATATCATCAGCATAGCATTAGAGAAGAAGGTCAAGTCTCGCCATCATTCATCGATCATCACCTTCAAGCAGTCTTCAAACGTTTATTCCTCAAGATGGCCAACAATATCTTCACAGCAATCATTGACTCTATACTTCCAACCAAACCTCAACCTGTAGTACCAGATCAACAACTATTAAAAGCCATGGATATCTCATTCTTAGCTCTCATCCTTACTCTCATCGGTTTAGCATTCATCACTTCAGCAAATCCACATGTGATAGCTCTAATCCTAGTAGCCATTTGTCTTTGGTTGAGTATCAGATGGTCAGTCCACCATCATAGCCTTATATCACCCATTTCATTGAACATTAATTTGTTGATTTTGGTTTGGTACTTTTTAGGTTTGTTGCTGAATTATCTAGATATCATCAAATTAATAAACCAATCGAAATCTCTTCTGATCAACTTATGAACCCATCAAATCTCAACTCAGAAACATCACAAAAACTCAAATCTAAATCAGAGTGATCTTTAGTTATTTCAAATTGGTAATCTTTATTATTATTCCTGAATAATTATACACTTTTCAGACCACATTATCCCCCAAAAAGACTTCAAATTGAGAAACCGATACATTACAAGGAAAAAAATACAAGAAACCCACATTAATCAATAACCTGAACCCACCTACCCCAAAACTTTCCAATCTCCATCCTAAACCCAACCCACCTTTCCTTCCTCACCAAACCAAACCATTCCGAATCTCAAGCACTCTTACTAGCTTCCCACAACTTCATTTTCTTTGTTGATTCTTGACCTACTTTTAAAATTTCTTTTTCCCATTCATCTAATCCATTTAGGAATTCATCGGTTTCTAAATTCAAATTATTATTCGTTCGATTCGATCGATCTTGATGTCCGGTTGGAAGTCTTGCAGCCAAATCGATGATTTCTTCTAATCTATCTTTCAATGTTTTATACAAAACCTTTCGTAATCCTAAATCTTCAATCCTACACCCCCCCACACAAAAAAAGAGACAATCGATGAGATCTTTCGGGATGATTTCCTTTAGGTTCTGATGAGTTATTTACATGGTTAATAAGACTTTACCAGATCCATACCAAGTTCCACCAGTACCAGAAGCTAAAGTACGTAGATTCACACTTTTGGCTGAGGCTGATAAGGCATTTCTGACTCGTGAATCAAATGCTTTTGGCATTTGAACTGATAAATAATCTTGATCATCTACTAAAAGTAAGGAAGTAAGCCAAAATGGAAGTTCAAGTGGACTATGTGGTAAGATCTATAACAACAAAAAACAGATCAAAATCATGAGTTAATTTCTCAACAGGAATTCTGGTTCTTTGGGGGGGAGTTACATACATCACGTTGATGGGTTCCTTCGAGATGACCCATGTTGGGAATCTTGACGTTGAAAGTACATGGGATTTTTTGACTTTCGGCTAGAAGTTGATCGAGTGAATAATAGTCATCCATTCTTTTGTTTGCGTTGGTTTGATAAGTTGATATTAGTTGATAGACTCGAAGGAAAGAAATCGCGTGGAAAGTTGAAGACTGCTCACTCACACTGGTCACTGAAAGTGGTGAGTTCATGGCGATATGCAATTACATATGTACATTGAGGGTCACGTGATATGTAACTTAACAAAACCTTAAGGTGTATTAAACTTCTAATAATTTAAAACCACAAGTTGAAAATTTGATGAGATTGAAATTTAGATTCTCAACAACAACAACAACCACTCCAACATCAACATCAACTTATTATAGAAAAATGGGAAGATCAGTACCATCTCATGCACCTAAGAGACCTAAACCATCGTTACGAAAATTGAAAGGAACAGTAAGGATTTTTCTTTGACATAGATTTCTTAAAAAACTTATTAAACTTTTTAATCATTCGAATTTGATGTTTTTTTCTTTTGTTTATATAGTCTGGAGCAGCTAAGAATTATGTGACTAGAAATCAAGCTCTTAAAAAATTACAATGTACTTTAGCAAATTTCAGAAGATTATGTATTCTCAAAGGTAAATAAAAAGTTTTTCTTATTTCACAATTACCTACCCCAAAAAAAAGAAACCAAATAAAACTAATTGTTTATAATTTGTTCTTTTTATTTCAAAAGGAATTTATCCAAGACAACCAAGAAATCGAAAGAAAGCTAATAAAGGATCTACTGCATCAGTTTCATTTTATTATTCAAAAGATATTGCTTATCTTTTACACGAACCTGTTTTAGAAAAATTAAGACAACATAAAGCTTTTGCTAAAAAACTTTCTAGAGCATTAGGTAGAAAACAAGATGGATTAGCTAAGAATATCGAATCGACTCATGAATCTTATCGAATTGATCATATTATTAAAGAAAGGTAAGCCGAGTCATCAATTTGTCTTTCAAAAAATAAAAGTTTAAACTAATGAGTTTTGTTTTTTTGTGGGGGGGGAACTTAGATATCCTACTTTTGCAGATTCGATTCGTGATTTAGATGATGCACTTTCACTCATCATTTTATTTTCAAATCTACCTTCAAATCCTCAAATCTCACCTAAAGTGATATCAAATTGTACTAGATTAGCAGCTGAATGGCAAACATATATCATTCGTACCAAGAGTTTAAGAAAAGTGTTTTTGAGTATTAAAGGAATTTATTATCAAGCTCAAATCGAAGGTCAATCGGTCACTTGGCTTGTTCCTTATGCATTCACTCAACGGGTCAGTCAAAAATCGTCTCGCTGATGTGTGTGTGTTTCCGTTCAAGAATTAATCTTTCTGGGTATTTTGTTATAGGTCCCATCCGATATCGATTTCAGAATCATGTTAACGTTCTTGGAGCTATACCAAACCTTACTTGGTTTTGTGTTTTTCAAATTGTTTCACTCAATCAATTTACTTTATCCACCTAAACTAGATTTCGAAAAGGACGAAGCAGGAGCCGGACTTGGAGCGCTTTTACTCGAACAAGCTGGTCAAAAACTAGTGGCTTCACCATCATCTGATCCACAAACCGATCTCACCGTTAAAGATGTGAAACAACAGATTCGAGAATTAGTGAAGAAACCGATTGAAGATTTACCGGATGAAGAAACACGAAATGAAGGACAAGAAAAGATTGAAGAAGATGAAGAATCGAAAGAACGAGCCGGATTGTTTTCAAATTATGTGTTTTTCATCTCACGTGAAGTGACAAGACCGATGTTAGAGTTTGTGATCAGATCGTTTGGTGGAGAAGTAGGATGGGATTCGATCTTAGGATCTGGATCCAACTTTCTAGAAACCGATCCTAGAATCACTCATCATATCATCGATCGTCCTACACTCTTAACCGGGCTAACTCAATTTCAATCTCAACGAGCTTTTGTTCAACCTCAATGGGTGGTCGATTGTATAAATCAATCTTCTCTTTTACCTACTGAACCTTATGGTCCTGGAAAAATCTTACCACCTCATCTTTCTCCTTTTGTTGATCATGAAGATTTACGTAAACAAGGTGGTTATATACCTGAAGGAGCTGAAGCTATTTCTGATGCTCAAACTAAAGATCAAGTAGAAGATGATGAAGACGAAGATGAGGATGAGGATGAGGATGAGGATGAGGATGATGAAATGGAAGTAGATCAAGAAGAAGAACAAAAGCTTACGAAGACTCAAAGCAAGAAACCGATCGATCGAAAGAGCAGACCAGGATTGATAGCAGCAGCTGAAGATCCAAATGATCCAACACTTTTACATGCAGCTGAAATTGAAGCAGAAGAACTTGGAATCTCACATGCTGAATTTGAAACACAACTAAAGAAATTGAGTAAACAAGCAGGACAAAAGAATCAAAAGATGCATAATCATGATGATGATAATAAAGAAATTAATGAAGCTATGTTGACTGGTAAACAAAGAAAATTGTATACCAAGATGAGTTTTACTAAACATAGAAGAGCAGAAGAAGTAAGTTTTTTTTTTCATTGATCATCACCTATCTCTTTAAAGAATTAAAAATAATTTACTGATTGATTGGTTTTTCGTTTTGTTTTTTTCTTGTAGAGAAATAAATTAGAAGCTAAGAAAAAAGCATTGGTGAATGGAAATAAGAAAAATGAAAGTAAAGTTAAAGAAAAAGGTAAAGGAAAGAAAACTTTGAAGAATTTGTAATATATATAAAAAACCCATACACATATATCTAGTCAATTCAATATTTCATTCAATATTTTTTTCCTTTGTTTAAGAAAGAGAGAGAGAGAAAGGAGATTAGTTTTTTGGGGGAATATACACATCATTTTTATTGGCTTTACATGTATCTTTTCTTGTGAGGATTGAGTTTGCGAAAATTTTCAGGTTTTCTTTGGGTTTGTTGGTCTGACTCTAGATCAATCAAAGAGGTTTGGAGTATCACATTGTTCTTCTCAGAGCGCGTGATTTTTGTTTAGGGCACGTTTGGTAGCGATTTTTAAAATAAACCCCAATTACCCCCGGGTACATTGCCCCGGGGCGAAGGAGCTTTTGTGCAAAATCGAGCTTTTTCAAAAAAAACTCCGTTTTGAGTACATTCAAAAAAAACTCGTTTGGTTGAACTTTCATTCAAACCCTGTTTACCACTTCTCACATCTTCTCGCACGTCACATCTCACCAACTGTATTCATCTGGATTCACCACCGATGTCCGATACAGATTCATCTGGAGACTTCAGACCGGAATGGCTGTCCTTGTCTGATGAGGACAGCGACGATGAGCTCCTCAATCTACTACTTGAGCACGCTCGGAACCGCGTGGCTCGAAGAGCTCTGCCAAGGAGACCGTATCACGACTCCGCTCTTCGAGGATTTCTCTACGAGCGAGAGTTGTTGAATGGTCATCCGGGAAGGTTTCGACAAGTTTGTCGAATGGACAAAGCCACGTTCAAAGGTGTCATGAAGATCCTTGGACCCCACCTCGAAGACACTATCCACATCTCTGCCAACGAGCAGGTGATGATATTCCTGTACATAGTTGGTAACACCTCTACCAACGCTACGGCTGCTGAGTGATGGCCACACTCCGGCGAAACTATTTCAAGATATTATAACAAAGTACTCGATATTCTTGAAAGCCTGAAAGATGAAATCATCGTTCAACCAGGGCCTGATACGCCAATCCCAGATGAAATCTCCAAAAGTACGAGGTACTCACCTTTCTTTGATGGGTGTGTTGGTGCCCTCGATGGGACTCACATTCCTGTGAGAGCTCCAGTCGCCGACCAAGCTCCCTACCGTGATCGAAAGGGTGATCTGAGCCAGAATGTTCTGGCGGCCTGCAATTTCGATCTCATGTTTTCTTTTGTACTCGCCGGTTTTGAAGGTAGTACTTCTGATCCTGACGTACTATATGCCGCAAGACACAATGGTGCCTTTGTTATACCAGAGGGTGAGTCTTTCATTTTCTTCAACTTATATATATATATCACTTAGGACTGTTTCCCATCCTAGGACGCTTCTATCTTGGTGATGCTGCCTACGCCAACGGTAATGGTATCTTAACACCATACCGTGGATTTCGCTACCACATTCAAGAGTGGGCTCGAGGCCGAACCGCACCACAAAATTACCAAGAATTGTTCAATTATTGCCATTCTCAACTGAGAATGATCATCGAACAAGACTTCGGAGTCTGGAAGATACGATTTGTGATTCTAGTCCTAATGCGAAGATTTCCATTACATCGACAAGGAAGTCTTGTAGTGGCACTCGCTGTTCTTCACAACCTCATCATGCGAGGTGGTGAAGATCAATTCTTTGGAGAATTTGATGAAGAACAACGTGAGCGAGATCGGGCATGGATCCGTCAAGCTCAAGACGATTTTGTTCCTGCGGTAAGGAATGATCGAGGTGCTGCAAATGCATTTAGAGATGAGATTGCGATGAGGATGTGGGCTCATTATCAAGCTCACAGAAATCATCACTGATTGAAATAGCTTTACATGTAGTAAGTCAAATTTTCGATTCTCTCCAATACAACATACTGACTATATCAACCTTTTATGTTGATTTTATTTCTCACCAGACAAACAAAAAAATATCAGAAAAACCTATATAACTCAATTTGTATTATTATTTCATTCAGCAAAACTGTATTTAGTATCATCGATAAGACATTCATATGGTCAACAATTTCATCAGCAAAAATGTATCTAGTATCATTGATAAAACATTCATAATAGATAAAAAAAACTGCTCTCTTTTGAGTCTGAATTAAAATTTGCATTGTAGTAATTATTTTTGAGTAATGATACATATTTTTTTAAGATGATCCTTGATTTTTTTCCCTAGCCTCCTTGATAACATTCACCTGTGCTTTGAGCCAAACCCAGCGCATCTTTGGATCTAGACCACCAAAGACAGCCGCTTTAGCCTCCTGTGATATGACATCAATCGAAATTAATCGGTCGTCTAAGTTGGGAAATTGATCTTTGCTGGCGGGGTTGAAGAGTTCCAGAGCCTTCTGTAAGTTTGGAAGCTTGTCGGCCTTGATGCGAGCTGCTTCGGTTATGGCTGAATTGAGCTGAGCAGAGCGATCTGCCTTCTCTTGAGCCTTGATAGCCAAGTTATCGGAAGCCGAAGCAATCGCAGTTGCCAGTGTGACTGGTTTGACCTCGCGAGCCGGCATTTTCTTCTTGATGTTCGAAACAGGGGTAGATTTTGAAGTCGAAGGCTTGGTACCTTCTTTTCTGATAGTAGAGACGGTGGTAGGGTTCTTTGGAGTTGGAAGATCGAGGTTTTGTGAGTCTGTTCCATCAATAACAATGGTATAGTCAGTTAGACTTGTATATCGATTGAAAAGTAGAAAATATCGAAAAATCGAAAATATAGCAACCTGATACGATTGCTTTACCTTTGCCTTTTTCAGTTGAAACTTCTTCATCTGAATCTGGAAGATCATTGAGGTCTCTTTTGGCTTGGGTCAATCCTTGTGCATCTACTTCATCATATCTGCTTTCTTCTTTGCTTTCTTCTAAATTATCATGATCTATAATTTCAATTTCCTCTTCCTCGTTATTCTCTGCCTCAACTTGTGTACCAGAACTTGTGCCAGTACGTAAAGCCCCAGCCGGTTTAGATCCATGAAGCATTGCATCCATTTCTTCGTAGTAGTCGAATGAATTGTTTCGAAGCTTCATCGCGTCCTTGTCTTTCTAAGAAAATCAAAACACGGTCAGCCGAGACAATCTCAAGAAGAATAGCAGGCAAAACAACTGACCTTGCCTACGTTCTCCCACCATTAATTTGGCATGTCGATCTTGCCACCAACCCATCCAACTCCAGAGGTCATTTTGACTTTTTTCATTCCAGTATAAGAACTCTTGCTCTAGATCAATAGCCGAAGAAAAAATAAAAGAACTTTGATTAAAATGATGAATCGATTTTGAATTTGATATCAAGACAAACAACTGACTGTGGTGTATAAATTTTTGATTTGTTCTCTATTCACCTTGTCTTCTGGATACGCAAGAGTGTATCTCTCGTGAACATTGGTGTAAGCCACGGGTTTCCAGTTGCCACCAATCATGTTACCATCCTCTTTTTCAGTTAAAAACTCGTTGAGTATAAAACGAATCTTGGAATCGGTCCAGACTGCTCTCGCGACTTTTGGAGCGTTCGGATCTTTCTTGGCTCGAGGCATGATATGAACAAGGAGGGTCGAAAGTCGCGATCGAACAACAAACAAAAAGGAAGAAGGTGGATGTTGGAAGTGGGAGAAGAGTGATGAAAACCGTTGAGAGGTGGTTGACGTCGAGGAGCCAGAGTATGATTTTGTTGACGTCGAGGTGGGTTGAAGAGTGTCGAAATGAAATTTGACCAAGTTCGAAAAGGAGTTTTACGAGTGGAAAAACTCCCTTTTTGCGGTTTTCAAAACGTACCTTTTAAACTCCTTTGAGGACGGGGAAGGAGTTTCTTTTGGGTACCGTAATCGCTGCCAAACGACTTTTTTTGAACAGTGTTTTTTCCAAATTTCAAGGGAGTTTATTCCAATAAACTCCCTACAAAAAGCGCTACCAAACGTGCCCTTATGTGAACAAGTTACTCAGGTGTGGTTTTATGTGGTCAAATAGGAACACATGAATACTACGGTTGTTGGTGCTACTTCCTACTTGAAGATCTTAGAGAATGATCTTCATGAGCATTTTCATCTAAACTATTTCAAGTCTAATGTCTAGTTGAACAAGAAACTTCAGACTGATGTCAATGAACTGAGGCAGAGTGAATAAAAAGTCACCCTGACCGAATGACATTGGGACCGAGCTAAGCCCGAGGTGTAAGTGTAACTGAGAGTATGATCGATGTGTATGTACAAAGTCTCATTAACGAGTCACGACCAAGTGACTTGCACACCACTGGCACCATCACTCAAACTAAGAACTTACGACCTTCTCACTCACTCGAGCCCTTCACTTTGCACTCTTTAACCCATCTCATCTCATTCCAACTCCTCTTTCTACCTAGACCTTTAATTCTTGATCAAAACACCAATCGAAACCCCCCAACCCAAAAAGAATCCATCAATTTCTTTGGACTTATCCCTATATGTCCCGTAATAGTTCACCTTCACACTCACGTCGAGAATCGACTAATAGTTTTACCAATTCGAATTCTAATTCAAACTCATTCAGACCTAGACCAACTGGTGTACCATCTTCTTCTGGTCCTGGTAACAATCTTACAGGAAATGGTGGTGGTGGTGGATCTCGTTTAAACCCATCTCGTGGTCCTTCACCTGGATTTCAAACTCCTCCGAACAGTGCACCTAATAATCTGACGATCGGTCCTCCTCGAAACATTGGACTCTTACTTGGATGTCCGATCAAATTGAAATTAGTAGGACCAGCAGGAACAGGAGCCTCAGGAGGAACGAATTCGAATGATAGATGGGTAGAAGGAAAAGTATGGTGTTATGATCCATTACCAGGTGTGATTGTATTAGAATGTCCAGGTAGTAGTCCTACAAGTACAACAGATCTTCAATCAGGAAAAGGTAAACAAACTTATCGAATGATTAAAATGAATCAAATCAAAGAAGTTCAAATTGGAGATAAAAACAATATGGACAAAATCGAAAGTTCTACAACAACTTCATCTATTGTAGATAAGATTCTTGAACCACTCAAACCGATCAATATCAATGCTGTGGAATTACGTGAAGCTACTGCTATTAAGAATGATGATGCAAGAAGAGCTAGGATTGGTCATGGGGTTTCGAGATGGGGACAAGAGATCTTTGATGCACTTGGAAAAACGTAAGTGATGATCGATTCAACTCAATCAATCTCAAGACGAATAGCTTCTCAATCCTAACTTTTTGGTTCATCTTCTTTCAGTTTACCCGTTCGATGGCATCAAACTTCAATTGTGATTCTAGATGACGTTCTCTTACCTGGACCACTATACCGACCAGAAGATGCGAAATCCAATAAAGAAGCTAGATTACAAAGAGTAAGAACGGTCTTGGAAGGAGAAAGGATTAGATTAAGGGCAACAGAAGAAGGAAAATCAATGGAAAAAGAAGCGGAAAGATTATCTAAAACTAATCAACAAACTACATGAGATTAACTTGAAGAAGAAAAAGATTTTAGATCATTTGAAGCTTTTTTTGCCTTGTTGTTGTTGTTGTGTGGATTTTTTGGGATGGGTTAGGCGGCTTGGTGAAAGAGAGTTTTGTTCAGCTATTGAATTACCCTCTTACTTGTTTTTTTTAGGAGACGGTGAGAATGAGATTGAGAATTAAATGATTAGAGGATAAATCAGAATTCCAGTCTTTGAGAAAGTACTAAAGAATACAACCTTTGATGAGGCAAGATGAGTCACACGTCTTTGTGATGATATCTATCTGAATGAATTGGATTCTGTCTGAGTGTTTTTGATGTTCTTTAGTCTGATGAAGATTCTCATTCGAATCCTGGGATAATTGGATTCACTGACTCCTTAGGGTTAGGGGAGACCTCAAAAAGCTGTAGGGAAGTGCAAATGATGCAGGCTTGAAAACATCTTGGTATCTGATTTGTAGAACCCCCCTTCAATCTCTTGGACTCTATATTTGATTTCAGATGGTTTACATATTTACGGTACTCAAAGTTGTGTATACAGCCAAAAGTATATTTTAATTTTTTTGCCCGCCAAAAAAAAGTATACACAACAAAGTATACACGAAGTATACACAACTTTGAGTACCCTAATTGATCAGTTATGCATATATGCGGAAATAGGCCAAAATACATAGCATTATGCATTTTTGCAGGTTATGAGCTAGGCTTCAAGACTTAGGGCTCAAGGTTTATGCCTAACTATGTACGTTTTATCCTGTATTTTGAGTAAAAGCTATGCAATTGGGCTTCTAAGACTCGGTTTTTTTGGGTTTTGACTTATGCATTATCATTTTTGACAAAATTATGCAATAAATCCAACTTTTAGCCCGCACCAAGTCGGGGGAAGTCCTGGCCTATGCAAAAAGGCTGATTATGCAGTTGCGCGGGTATGCAATTGCGCGGGTTTGACTGTATAGTTCTTGTATAGTTTTCTGTGTATAGTTTTTTTTGGCAGGGAAAAAGAAGCCAAAAGTATATTTTAATTTTTTTGCCCGCCAAAAAAAAGTATACACAACTTTGAGTACCCTAATTGATCAATATATTTCCACCCTCCATACATAAACAGCTAGCCAGCAAGAAAAGTCATGCTAGATAATATCTTCATATGGTTATGAGAAGTGCTTGAAGTATATCTGGCTTGAATATTTCTTATCCTCAGGTCAAAAAACTAGTTTAGTTGTCTTGGGGCCTAACACTTCTTCCTTTTGATACTAGTCAAGAGCTGGTCTCAGTTCCTTATGTATTTTTGATTTATGACAGTGTAAGTGGAGACAGAAGCAGAACAAGGAAAGGAAACCATGAGATTTGTATAAGACTTACAAAGACAAAGCCTCTGATAAGAACATGGGGTGGCTGATCTCTACATTAGAGATTTATGGCCGGTGGTTCAGGAGATTGATGGATAGTAAAGAAGGAATAGCGTGCATAGTCTAATGATTTTAAACCATTAGGTGATCTTGATCTAAGATAGTTTATAGATGAATGTGTTCTGCACAGGACTTTCAAGGACATTCTAAGAGAACTTAAGAGAGTCAAAAAAGTTCTAGGAGTAAAACACCACTCTAGAAATGGGCCTGCCCTTCATTCCGCTCATTTGTCACTTGTACCAACTCACAAAAATACGCTTTTGAACTTGAATTGATGAGTCTTTTGAATTTCCATATACACTATTGTCATTCTAACCAGAGAAATCATAAACAGACAGAAAACACAATCAAGAACAAGGAATCGAAAAAAAAGAAAATATATAACAGTTAAGAAGGGGAAAAAACATATAGCCACTCGAACCAAATATGATCAATGAAAAAATGTAATCTTAACACAAGATCTTGAACTTCATAAACTCAAATGAACAATTGAGTGACATATGTGGAAAGAGACAGATGAGACAACAAATCATACGATACAGTATAAAGATTATCTATTTTTTTCAAGCATGGAGTGTGGGTGTGACATTGAAGAATAAAGATAAATCCCTCTGATCCCAATGTTTACGATTAAAAGCTCCAAATCGACCATTATTGTAATAAAATAATAAATGACTCTTGTTTGGGATATAAATGTAATAGTTATTGTAGATAGTAACAGGTGGACCGTTTAGAATGTTACTATAACCACGTGGGATGACTGGAATATGTTTTGTAAAGTATCGGTGACGAGGAATATAATCTTGGACTGAGATACATTGATTTTGACTAAAAACACAAAAGTGATCTTGATAATTCACGACTTGATATCCATTAAAAGTATAAATCTTTAAAACTCTATCGTAAGTCCAAGTAGGTCGAACAGTTAAGTCTTGTCCTAGTTCTGCGAAGAACTTTTCGGTAATTTGACCTTTTGCCACTATTCCATCGACAACTGTGAATGAAAAATTACTATGTGTCAGCACTGAGTCCTATATGAATGATGCCTCGAGGCTAAGTGTAATCTTTACCTTGAGTAGACGTAGGATTAAAATCTGCAGTTACAAATAAAGTCAGCTTTCTTATCAATCTAACAGATGACTTTAAGAGTAAAACTTACCCGTAGCGTAACCGGTGCCCAGAAGAGCTACTACAGTAAAAATGATGAGTGACTTTAGAGCAACATACATTTTATGAGTCCGACGGATGAAGGTGAGGATGACTTGAGTTGAGGAATAACAGTAGAGCTGATAATGAGATGAAGAGGGTCTTTATTGATTGGAATCAGAGAATGCGGAAGAAGCAGATGAAGTGTGATGGTATGAGAGGTTGGAAGTCGAGTCAAACCCCTGCCCTCTTATAGGTAAGTTATTGGTGGACATAATCATCATCTGCAGAAATTTGCAAGTTGGTATGTAGAACTAATCAAGTGTCCACCGAGGAAGTATGGTAGCTTTGCTTGATCGAAGATGATGAACTGATTTTTGAACACGGTTTTTTTGGACCGCGTTGGACCAGTTGTTGATCGGATCCGCTCCTCCTTTGACTCCAAGACACCTCATGATATGATCGCTTCAGAATGAAGAGACCAGATGCGCTAACTCGATAGACTGCAAGTCACACTGATCTTTACTGATTCCCTCATCCTCCTCATATGTTCGTTCAAGCCTGTATGGACATAGTTCCTTAGTACATACACGCCGGGACTTATCGAGAATTTTTATCCAAGCTGAACCTAAGGAGATCCTCACACGCTCACAAGATGCTCGTAAATGAATGAAAGAAGGCAATTCTGCTCACCTTTACGAGTGCTAGAGTATGTTCTTAGTTGCAAGTTGCTCACTTAACATACATAGTTCTAAAATTGTATTATTCTTTTTTGGTGTTTGTGTTTACCATGATTCTGATGAACAAGAAAACTTGAAGGCCTACTGCTCATACATGCTCTCAGGCGATTTGAAAAAGAAACGTTCCTACTTTTCATCAGCTGAAGCCTGGCCTCCTTCAACACCCCTCCTATCCCACCTTCTGCTCTTGGTTCATTTGCCAAGAAACATATGTGGAACTAACGGCAGCGGTGGTATAACAACCTCTAACAACGGTAAATAGTAAGCCAGCTCAAACACAAAGAGTCAAAGGCAGGTTTGATGCTCGGACCAAATAAATGCTATTCAAAATCCATCAAGTGGGAGTGCCACTCTAGGAGAGTATTGAGAAACCTCGCTGGAGGAACAAGGCTTGTGTGAGGCTGTATCTGTATTGACATTCGAGTACGATCACATGTCGTCGCACATCGTAAAAGTAGAGTGAGTTTCATTTTTCACGTTTTTCCAACCCAACGGGTAGATCGGGATTCTGGATTATGGCTGAGAATTCTCGGAGCTCAGCTTAGCTTAACTAAGCCCCTCGCGCGGCCGCGTCCGCGCCCTCGAAAGAGGGGCTTATGACTAAAACGGGTTTTTTGGCTGTGTGACTCCATGTTTTAAGTACCCTTATGTTGTTT